TGCCAGGCGAGCGCGCTACCACTTGAGCCACATCCCCAGCCCTCGTTTATTTATTTTTATGTGGTGCTGAGGATCAAACTCAGTGCCTCACACATGCCCGGCAATCGCCCTGCACTGAGCTACAGCCCCAGCCCCCTTCCTTGGATTCTTTTTTTTTTAAGAGAGAGAGAGAATTTTTTAATATTTATCTTTTAGTTTTCGGTGGACACAACATCTTTGTTTGTATGTGGTGCTGAGGATCGAACCTGGGCCACACGCATGCCAGGTGAGTGCACCACAGCTTGAGCCACATCCCCAGCCCCCTTCCTTGGATTCTTAAGGCTGTGATGTCACTGCCACTTCTTTCTAACACTCTCTGCCTTCTTCCTCTCCCTGTTGCCACTGTCTGGCTCTCTCCTCCCACCAAACCCTCCTACAAGTCTTGACCACTGTGTGGTTACAAATGGGCTGGGACCTGACCCAGGCCTCCCTGCCCTGCCCCTAGCTTTCACTCCTCCTTAAGCTAAGCCATCTCAAGTCAGGGCCACACACTCAAGAATGGGCTGCTGAGTTACATGGGGGCATTCCCAAATAAATGTGACCTCAATTAGTCAGTTCACCTCCCTAAGCCTCGGTTTCCCCACTTGGCACTTGAGAACTGCACAGTTTTAAGTTAGGGACTGAAGGAAATAAATTTGGTTAAAGCATTTGCTTTAGGCCAGAGCTGGGCAGGTCTTCCAGAAAAGCATGCTGCTGACAGGGACAACATGTCCTTCTCCCATACCCCATCACCCTACCTTGTGACTCCACCTCCCCGCATCTCCCCAGCCATCTGCTGTACCTGCTGCCCACACCCTAGCCAGTCAGCCTCTGGGTAAGCTCTAGGCCCATCCTGCTGACAGCTCTCAGCTCAGGGTGGGCCTTCTGCCTCTACCCTCCTCTGCCACAGCACTCCCCCTCTCTGACAAGGTCTCATTTTTTGTTTCCTAAACGCACCTCCTACTTAACTCTCATCTGTCCTTCAGGTCTCACCTCTAAGATGACCTCTAGCTCAGTACAGGAGTCATACAGCCACAGGCACTGTTCCTGTCACCTCAGAGCAGTGGGTCAAGATCAAGAGATAGCTCAGAGCAGAGGGCTGCATGGAAGGTGTGAAGAGAGTGTCAGAGACAACACAGCCAGAAGTGCAGGGACATCAGGGCCACCTAGGCAGGGAAGTCTGTACCAGGGTGGGGGCTGCAAGGCACTTTAAAGGAAGTGCTGCAGCCAGGAGGAGATGTTCCCAGGGAGCAGGAGATGGGTTAGAGGTGTGGCCTGCAGTCCTGCCCCTGGTGGCTGAGGCAGTGGATGTAGGAGCATGTTATCGAGATGTGTCTGTGGCCTCTGGTCCTGTGGACCTTCCTCAGCCCCTCTATGCCTGTCTGGCCACTAGGTCCCCTGATCTCAGTCTCCACATCCAGCACTTCCAGTGTTGTTTTGGCCTGATTCTAGCTTATCACCTCTCCTGCCTAGGCCACAGTTCCCACACTGCCCCAGGCCTTAACCATTCAGCCACCAGTGTGGCCAAGGCATCCTCTCCCTTTGGCTACACCCTTGCCATTTTGGGGGGGAGGGTACCAGAGATTGAACTCAGGAGCACTCAACCACTGAGCCACATCCCTGGCTCTATTTTCTAAGGATCTGGCTCCTCATTCTGAGGGCAATGGAAGATGGTAGTTACATTTATGCTTTAAAAAGATCACGCTGTTCTCAAAGTAAGACCTGCTTCCTATTTGCAGAAGAGAAAAAAAAAAATGTACTGGTCATTACTTGCCAAGACCATGACTCCATACCACTTGGGATGAAGGGCAGTGAGTGTCAACATGGGTGGGCTCTAGATTGCATCTGTAACAAGTCAGTGTCACAACACAAAAAGCAAGGTAGCATATTCCAGATTAAAAGAGCCTAAAGCAGCTAGGTGTGGTGGCACCCACCTATAAGTTCAAGAGGCCGAGGCAGGAGGATCTCAAGTTCAAAGCCAGCCTCAGCAATGGTGAGGCACTAAGCCGCTCAGAGAGACCCTGTCTTTAAATAAAACACAAAGTAGGGTCAGGAATGTGGCTCACTGGCTGAGTGTCCCTGAGTTCAATCCCCTGTACCCCACCCCCCAAAAAAGAGCCTAAAGAGACACAATCACATGTAATGCACACTGGGCATGGTGGCGCATGCCTGTAATCCCAGCAGCTCGGGAGGCTGAGGAAGGAGGAGCTCAAGTACAAAGCCAGCCTCAGCAGTGGCAAGGCACTAAGCAACTCAGTGAGACCCTGTCTCTAAATAAAATACAAAATAGGGCTGGGATGTGGGTCAGTGGCTGAGTGTCCCTGAGTTCAATCCCTGGTACAAAAAATAAATAAATAAATAAATAAAAGTAATGTACAATCTTTAATTAGCTCCTGGACTTAAGATAACTGTTTAGTCAGTTTTTTTCCCCTGCTGTGACTAAAAGACCCAACAAGGGGCTGGGGATGTGGCTCAGGCGGTAGCGCGCTCGTCTGGCATGTGGGCCGCCCGGGTTCGATCCTCAGCACCACATACCAACAAAGATGTTGTGTCCGCCGAGAACTAAAAAATAAATATTAAAAATTCT